TGTGGGATCCTCTGTGGGATCCTCTGTGGGATCATCCCAGTATCGGCATTCCCGTGGTGGAACTTTCCGGTATCGGAGCTCCCTGATCCCGTGGGGAATGTCCCGGAGTGGGACCAGCCCAGTCCCAGTCCCAGTTTATCCCAGTTTATGCCAGTCCATCCCGGTCCCAGTTTATCCCAGTCCATCCCAGTCCCAGTTTATCCCAGTCCCAATTCATCCCAGTTTATCCCAGTCCCAGTTTATCCCAGTCCCAGTCCATCCCAGTTTATCCCAGTCCCAGTTTATCCCAGTCCATCCCAGTCCCAGTCCGTCCCAGTTTATCCCAGTCCCAGTCCATCCCAGTTTATCCCAGTCCCAGTCCATCCCAGTCCATCCCAGTCCCAGTCCATCCCAGTCCCAGTTTATCCCAGTCCCAGTCCATCCCAGTTTATCCCAGTCCCAGTTTATCCCAGTCCATCCCAGTCCCAGTCCGTCCCAGTCCCAGTTTATCCCAGTTTATCCCAGTCCCGGCCCATCCCGCAGGGAAACTGAGGCAGGCTGTGGGCGGAGCGGGTGGCAGTGGCAGTGTTGGGGTCCCGCTGCGCCCCCGGGATGGAATTGGGGGGGGGGGGGCGAGTCTCCCCTTTGGGACCCCCCCAAAAGTCCCCCGGGACCCCCAGAGACCCCCCCCCAGTTTGGAGCTGCTTTTGGTCCTGTTTGGTGAGAAAAGCCCCAAAAAGGGTCCCCGGGGGGGGGAGGGGTCCTTTGGGGGGACCCCCAGGGTGGGCACGACCCCCCAAAAACGGAGTGGGGGTGTGGCTGCTGGGGGGGAACTGGGCTGGACTGGGCTGGACTGGGCTGGACTGGGATGAACTGGGATGGACTGGGATGAACTGGGATGAACTGGGATGGGGTCTGGGGGGGTCCATCCTTCCTGAGCGTGGGGGGGTCTGGGCCCCCCCAGCAGGACAGAGCCCCCCACCCACCCACCCCCCCGGGCACCGCTGGGTTTGGGGGTGGGGGGGGCACCCAAAGGTGCTGCTCCGGCGCCTCCGGACCTGGGGAGGGAAAATTTGGGGATGGGGGTTAAACAATTTGGGGGGGCACTTCCAGCCCCCCCGAAAATCCCGGGGACCCCCCCCCCCTCAAATCCCAGCGGGGGCACATCCCAACCCAGGGGTTTGGGGGGCTCAGGGGTCATGGGGGGGGCTGGGGGGGCTCTCAAGGGGAACCCCAGGGGGGGTTTCCAGCCCAGAGGGGTCCTGGGGGGTCCCAAGGGGTCCCGGGGTGTTCCAGGGTGTCCCAGGGGGTCCCAGGGGTGTCACTGGGGGGGTCCCAGGGTGTCCCAGGGGTGTCACTGGATGTCCCAGGGGGTCCCAGGGGGTCCCGGGGGTTTCACCAGGGGGTCCCTGGGGATCTCAGGGTGTCCCAGGGGTGTCCCAGGGGTGTCCCAGGGGTGTCCCAGGGTGTCCCAGGGGGTCCCAGGTGTGTCACTGGATGTCTCAGGGTGTCCCAGGGGTGTCACCGGGGGTGTCCCTGGGGGTCCCGGGGGTGTCCCCGGGGGTCCCGGGGTCTCACCGGGCTCAGTAGGGCCGGTTGGCGTCCTTGGGCCTCTTGAGCTGCACCTTGAGGCGCTTCATGCCGATCTGGAAGCCGTTCATGGCCTGGATGGCGGCCTGGGCGCTCGCGGGGTTGTCAAAGCTCACAAAGCCTGCGGGGACGTCGGGGACGTTGGGGACGTTGGGGACGTTGGGGACATTGGGGACATTGGGGACAGAGGGGACATTGGGGACATCGGGGACATTGGGGACACTGGGGACATCAGGTACTGCTGACCCTGGCCGTGATGTCCCCACGTGCTGACCACGGTGCTGCCACCCCGTCCTTGCTGTCCCTCCTTGTCCCTCGTGTCCCCATTCCCCATGTCCCACATCCCCTATCCCGATGTCCCCGTGGCCCCGTGGCCCCAATGTCCCCATTTCCCAATATCCCAATATCCCAATATCCCCTATCCCGATGTCCCCGTGTCCCAATGTCCCCACTGTCCCCAATGTCCCCATGTCTCCATATCCTTGTGTCCCCAGTGTCCCCATGTTCCCACTGTCCCCATATCCTACATCCATGTCCCATATCCCATTATCCCCATTGTCCCCATGTCCCTGATGTCCCCAATGTCCCCAGTGACCCCAGTGACCCCAGTGACCCCATATCCCACATTGCCTATCCCAAATCCCATTGTCCCAATGTCCCTGATGTCCCCAATGTCCCCAATGTCCTCAATGTCCCCAATGTCCCTGATGTCCCTGATGTCCCCACTGTCCCTGATATCCCCAAATGTCCCCCATATCCCCATGTCCCCCCAATGTCCCCGATGTCCCCAGTGTCCCCATATCTCACATCCTTATCCCATTATCCCCACTGTCCTCACTGTCCCTGATGTCCCCGTGTCCCCGTGTCCCCACTGTCCCCGTGTCCCCACGTCCCTACCGAAGCACTTGCTCTGGTTGGTGGCCCTGTCCACGAAGACCTTGGCGGAGATGACGTTGCCGAAGGGGAGGAACATCTGCAGGATCTCGGTGTCGGCGAACTCCTGGGGCAGGTGGTAGATGAAGATGTTACAGCCCTCGGGGCCTGCGGAGGGAGCGGGTCACACCTGGGACGGCGTCCCCACACGGGCACGGCACCCCGAAACCGGGACCACACGGGCACAGCACCCCGAAACCGGGACCACACGGGCACGGCACCCCGAAACCGGGGCCAGAACAGGCACGGCACCCCGAAACCGGGGCTCAGGACCCAAAACGGGCACGGCACCCCGAAACCGGAGCCAGAATGGGCACAGCACCCCGAAACCGGGGCCACACGGGCACGGCACCCCAAAACCGGGGCTCGGGACCCAAAACGGGCCCGGGACCCCGAAACCGGGGCCAGAACGGGCACGGCACCCCAGAACCGGGACCAGAACGGGCCCGGGACCCCAAAACCGGGGCTCGGGACCCAAAACAGGCTTGGGACCCAAAACAGGCACGGCACCCCAAAACCGTCACCCAACAGGCACAGCACCCCAAAACTGGGACCAGAACGGGCATGGCACCCCAAAACCAGCACCCACACAGGCATGGCACCCCAAAACCGGGATCACACGGGCCTGGGACCCCAAAACTGCCACCCAACGGGCACGGCACCCCAAAACTGGGACCAGAACGGGCACGGCACCCCAAAACCGGGGCTCGGGACCCAAAACGGGCCTGGGACCCCAAAACCGGGGCTCAGGACCCACAGCCCACATGGGACCCCAAAACCAGGGGGGGGTCTGGGGAGTTTTGGGGGTCTCGGGGGGGGTTTTGGGGG